AGGTTAATTCACGCTTACTTAATGCCATTTCATTGTTTGGTTCAATTTCTAATAGCTTATTTCGATCCACGAGCGAATCTTTATATCTACCAATGGTTTGATATAATAATCCACGACAATATAATATTGTTGAATTGGTTGAATCTATTTCTAAAATCTTATTTAACTTGATTAGATCTGTAATTAACTGATCAAATCTGTTCATATTTTTATAAATTGCTTCACGACTATTTAAAGGTACTACATTGTTTGGTTCGATTTCTAATGCCTTGTCTAAGTCCGAAAGTGGCTCTTCAATTTTACCCAGCATTTGGAAGACCGTTCTGCAATTATTTAATATCGTTGCATCATTTGGCTCAAGTTGTCCTACTTTTTTTATATCTGCAAGTGATTCTTCGTATTTACCCATATTTTGATATAATGATCCGCGATTAATTAATGCAATTATATTATTTGGATTAATTTCCAGTGATTTATTTAAATCTGCAAGCGATTCTTGATATTTACTCATCATTCGATAGCATTCTCCACGATTATTAAATGCTATAGTATTGTTTGGGTCGATTTCTAGTAATTTATTTAAATCTGCAAGGGACTCTTCATATTTATCTATCTCTTGATAGGTTAGTCCACGATAAAATAATGATGTAATTCGATTGGGTTCAATTTCTAATGATTTGTTCAAGTCTTCAAGTGACTCTTTATATTTATCTGTGTTATTTGGTTCAATTTCTAATATTTTGTTTAAATTTGCAAGTATCAGTTCGTATTCTTTTGTTCCAAAATGAGTCAATTCGTTGTTATTCAATATATTAGTTAAATCTTCGGATTCAATTATTCTAAAATGAGTCGATTCGTTATTATTCAATATATTAACTAAATCTTCAGATTCGGAGTCATCATCACTATTTTCATTTCGTTCTAATTCTGATGATTTATTAAAATCAGCAAGTGATTCTTCGTATTTGCCCATATTGATAAGTTAATCCACGGTTATATAGTGTCATTGCATTATTTGGTTCTATTTCTAACAAATTATTAAAATCATCAAGTGATTCTTCGTATTTGCCCATACGTTGATAAGTTAATCCACGATTACATAGTGCTGCAGCATTATTTGGGTCTATTTCTAACAACTTAACTAAATCAGCCAATGATTCTTCATATCTGCCCATCTCTTGATAAATTAATCCACGATTATTTAATGCACTTTCATTTTCCGGTTCAATTTCTAATGATTTACTAAAATCAATGAGTGATTCCTCATATTTGCACATCGCTAGGTAGGTCGAACCACGATTACATAACGCAACTTCATTATTTCTAATGATCTATTTAAATCTGCAAGTGATTCCTGATATCTTTCCATATATAGATAAAGTATACCACGATCGCATAAAGTTTTTACGTTATCTGGATCAATTTCTAGTAAACTATTTAAATCTTTGAGTGATTCCTCATAATTACCCATCTCTTGATAAGTTAATGAACGGTTATTTAAGGCCGTTACATGATTTTGTTCGATCTCTAACGCTTTATTTAAATCTGCAAGTGACTCTTCATAATTACCTAAAATTCGATAAATATTTCCACGATTATTTAATGCCACCACAAAATTTGGCTCTATTTCTAATGATCTATTTAAATCCGCAAGTGATTCTTCAAATCTACCCATGTCTTGATATGTTAATCCACGATTATGTAATGCTTTTGCACAACTCGGTTCTATTTCTTACGAACAATTTAAATCTGCAAGTGATTCTTCAAATTTACCCATTTCTTGATAAGTCAATCCACGGTCATTTAGTGCCGTCGCATCATTTTGTCTGATTTCTAATGCCTTGTTCAAATCTTTAAGAGACTCTTCATATTTAAATGATGTTCGATAAAGGTCACCACGATAATTTAATATTGTTACATCGTTAGGCAGAATTTCTAGAGCTTTATTAAAATCTTCTAATGAATCTTCGTATCGACCCATGTTAAAGTAAATTAATCCACGGTTATATGATGAAAATGAATCATCTGGATTAATTTTTAATGATTTATCTAAATCCGCAAGTGATTTTTCCGCCAGATTAGGATTATATTCTGGCCTCTTTCTCAAAGATAGAAACATTTATTTTGTTTTATTAAACTTAGAAAAAATTAATAAGGATTTATAAAGTTTATTAATCACACTGCAAGAAAAAGAGAAAAGAGCAAATTATAAAAATAAACCATTTTCTAATTATAAACACTTACATTCTTTTTTAAAATTCCTTGAATTGAGATTATGCATAAGTTGAAGGCGTTTATTAATTCGACTTAAGGTTATAGTGATTACCTAGAAGTTAACAAATTTATTAACGCAAATTATTTGGTTTAAGATGTAAAGTATTTTCTTTGAAGTGTGTTTAAAACGCATACAGTACTAACAGGTAACTACGTAGTTACGTGCTACATCCGACCCTTTTTCGTCATTAATTGAAGATTTTGCTGTTACCCAAACTGATAGAAAAACCACATTAAGTAAAACAGTTAAAATATGGTAAGTGGATGTCACAAGCCAATAAAAAAGACTGGATGTGACCACACAAAGTTAATTTTCGTTTTGCATTACATGGATTTCAAAATCAACGGTCGGTCGGATTTTTTTTTCTCTAATACTAATCTACAGTAAATTAATAGAACCATGTTCACATGGCCACACGAAGTAGATTTTTCACTTTGCATAACATGGAATCAGAAAATTGAGTCGGCAGTTCTAATCGGACAATTCCGGAAAATAAGGTGATTCCTGATTATTGTTTTGCTAATAAGCTTTCTAAATATTAAGAAACATGAACTGAAATTGACAAAAATCAGAATTTGAAATACTTCCTTTAAATTATAAAAATCTGAACAAGCAATCTATATTAGTAGACCATTACCCAGTATGTACAAGGTAATATTAATTAAATTTTATTATTTTTACAAAATAGTCACCATATTGGCATATTTTAGTTATATTTTTATAATTATTGAATCTTCTGTAGAATAATCAATAAATAAATGCAGAAATGAATAAAATTTGTTTTTATACGTTTTATATTATCGGTTATGTTATAATTGTAACATGAATTTACAAATAAGGGCCTAAAAAAGTAAACCAATTACATATAAGGGCCCTATTTTAGAAAATTTTGCCATATCTCATGATATAGTGAACAAAATTTAATGATTTTGATACCATTCGAATCGTCTCGTCAAGACGGATCGGGTGGTACTAAAATTGCTAAATTTGATGTAGATCCTGAAAACCAATCTGTTCGAATCGCATTCTCCATCAGAGGATCCATAATAGACATCGATATTTTCAAATACACACATTACTTCCAACTATATGGAAATAATTGTTACCGTACCCAATTCCCCATACAGAACTGCTTTGCGCTTACAGTTCATAAAACACAAGGCTTAACCTTACCAAAAGTAACTCTAGCATTAGATGAAAACATTTTTTCCCCCGGTCAAGCTTATGTCGCCCTTAGCAGATGCCCCACCTGGGACAACGTTGAAATATCCCACCTTGACGAATCTGTGTTTGTTGCAAACGAAGACGTAGTATTAGAATATCAAAGATTAGAAAACATTGCTAGAACAAATCCCACCCCATATTCATAATTTCACACAAATGTTAAATCTACAATTGTTATATCTAGTCTCAAAACTATAATTATCTTAAAACATAAAAAATCTGTAATATATTGTAATCTCTAATAACGTACCGTACACATTCCCGAGAAACTGTAATCATAAAAAACCTCTCACGACACAAATATGTAATACACAAAAAATAAAATATTGTATATATATTGATATACGTATCTCAATATAACGATATGGAGTTCATAGGGAGACAACATAATTTTATTGAAAAATGAAACAAAACTTCGAATAAAGAAACTTACAGACTAATAAATACGCACAAAAAAATGGATCACTTATATTTAAAAAATGGATAGATACACGTAAAGTGGGTAAATGTGATATTTATTACCAATAAACCCAAACCCATTAAAGAATCTACATACAAGATCTACGTACAAGACATAGACTACAGAACTACAACTATTAATATATGGTTGACAAGCCCAAGTGCACTACAAGAACTGACCAAATTTAAATATTAAACCCGGATCCTCTACTACTAAGATCTTGTATCTATTCAAATTAAACAACTAAAAGTAAAAGTTTATCTAGATCTAACAATAAAATAGCTTTATACGAAAACGTTTCCAGTTACCTTCACTCCACAATATGGTCCAATAAATGGTAGGCATACCTTATCTTCTAAGTAAAGTTCTCGGGTCACCGATTATTTCCGATTACTTTTTGTACAATGTTCTTTCAAAGTGAAAAATGGCTTTTGTTATTAGTGAAACGTTAAGTTACCCTGATAGTAACACATGATTCATTCTCGTAACCAATATAACACTAACGATTGGTCAAAAAATTGACCAATAAGTTAACGCCTAATCTATCAGATAAGTGCACGTGGTACTAGGAAAAAAAATACTAGCTAGTTTTATACAAGATACGGATATGTTCAAAAGTTTGAGTTGAAAATCACATGACTGCGTGAAAAATACAGGATAACTGATAAGCAAACGCCCTCTGATTAGCTATTTTCCTTTTTGGGTTTGTATCACCCACACAAATAAGTGCACTCCCTGCAGTAGATCCTAATGCCATTGGTGACGATTGTCAAAATAATTAATAATTGCAACAGTTAAATTCTCATGCTAAAAAGTTTAAAACCTGTACATAGTGCAGAAATATTTTTTTCATCTCTAAGGACCATAAATTGATAACTTTCTAAATACTATTCACTACAAAAAACTCAACAGATTAAAAAAAAAGCAGAATTTTACATTTTTCGAAATTTAATGTATGATGATTATGCAAGTTAACAAGTTATTATGTTTATCCCTGCCATTTTGGTTATCCACTAACCAATTTAACATTTTCCGCAGAAAATGGCTAATGATAAAAATGAGTCAACAGAAAGGCCAGGTTCCATAATAGTGATGTGGGTCTTGCTCGAGGGTGAACCAACAGCCGTGAAGTTGAAAGGTTCTTTATCTGAGTTCACAGATTTGGATGATTTTTCTTCTTGTCTCGAACAGAAATTTGATGAATTAAAAAATGTCAAGCCACAAAAACGTACATATTTTACCTATGATGATCGCAACGTACCACTCTCGCCAGACACCGTCCTTACATCTCTGACCACCACAGCATCAAAACCGCTTGTCGTCCGGTACCCATTGTCCGATGCAAATAGTAAGTAGAGTTTACATATTTTTGTTTTTCCAGTTTCTAAAACTAAATGTTTATCAAATTCTATAATGCAGTTGTAGTAAATTATAAATTTCTACGTTCTTCAGGCGAATATCAAATGCCACATACAAGTGGCTCCTGGAGTCTTTTGAGAGAAGCCATCATAGAAAGATTCGATAAGTTGCTGACAGAAAATTTCTATTTTGTCAATAATGAAACGAATAAGGAAATTATGAATGAATATCAGTTTAACACATTATTGTTGAGAACCAAGCCAAACGAAGCGAATGATTACATACTTGATCTAAAGATCCGGATCAAGGGGAAAAAAGCATATGGCGATTGGAAATTTAGGGATGTGTTTCAGGATGTGTTGAAACAAGATCATACATCTCTTGATACTGTGCCAAGATTTAACCCAAACGAACTTCCTATAATAAACCCTCCGATGAGTGTCCAAGAGTTGGATCTCTTCATCAAGAAACTTGAGGAAAAATACTATACACTTCGTAATGAGATAAAAAACGAGGCAACATCACGTGAATTCATATCAATTTTCATGAACACTGCAGTCCGACATGTTCAACTTCATGTAAATGAGAACACGTGGTTATCTGTAGAAGTTGAGCTTGATGGAAGTCGCGGTTATGGTTACGCAGATTATGCTGTATATATTCAAGATAACATAGTATTAGTAGATGAAGCCAAATGGAAAGATCTTGTTGAAGGCATAGCTCAATGCGTTATGGAAATGCACACTTTAGTGGAAAAGTTAGGCAAACGCAAGCGTGACAAATCACCAACAATTTTTGGTATAGTGACTACGGGACGTAGTTGGCGATTCATTCGCTGGACTGGTTCATTAGAAAGACCGATAGTTGAAATTTCTGAGGAATATGTATGTAGATTCAAAGAAGATACGAAAAACTCAAAGGACGTGATTGAGTATATCATACGAATTCTCCAAACACAAGCCACGTCATTTCTAAATGATAACAGGGATAATGAACATATTTCAAAACGCAATAAATCAGAGTAGAATTTTCTCGAAAAGATGATACATATACTGTATATATGCAGACTATAATTTCTGAATATGTTTTTTAATCTTTGGAAACCGTTGTTATTTGCGTTAATCTCGATTGTATATTGTGGAATTAATTAGTATCAGTAAAATTAAAGACAATTGAGTTAAGTCAGAAATAATCTATAGTAAAATCGCATATACGTAGTTGATCAAAAAATAATTTATGTACCCTTTCTCCCTGCAATAAAAGTTTATTAATAAAGTTAGTTTTGTAAAACATTGATCAAACTTTCTCTATCTTCGGACCTAGATTAGAGCAACGTAATTTATCATGTATCGGTATGCATTCTTATGATCCAAAATCATAATGTCGATGTATACTCTTTCATTGATTGGTGCCCGTGTAACTGATATTCTGGAATCAAGAAAATCCCGGGCCTCCGACCCTAAAACTATAGTTCCGTAGTATATCAAATATTCTCTATATATCGATATCGATATTTGTTGTAAGTGGATTTGGAATTTCTTAAGATTTTAGGGTTAGAGCGTAGGCTTATATAAAATAAATTCTACCTAAAAATTCTAAAAAATTCCACTAAACCGTTACATTTTACAATATCCTGTAATCTTCAGTTCGCACTACTTGTTTCAGAAAAGTGACAATTTCTATGCCAAGGGCTCCGCTCTACTTGTGCTTCGTATCACAAAAAGTTATGCATAACGATAAGCTAGTAAGGTGATACAGATAAATTCATACGTACCCGGAACTATTCTAACACATGTTAAATGAATATCTTTGTTACGTGGGCGAATTATGGAAAATTATGTATCGATTCTGATTTATTTTTACTAAATGTTAACTATCCGATAATTATCGTTATTACATTCACATCGCCTATATATTCCATCCGCTACTTTTTTGCACGTTTTGCAATATAGATGTGAATGATGATTGCATTCGTCACAGACCTTACACCCGTGCTTCCAACCTCTAAAGATATGCCACTTCTCGAAGTAATTTTTTTTATTTGTTAATACGTTACTCTTAACTTTCATTGTTATATATTAACAGAAAAAATATAACGTGGCTAAATTTTTTATTATACAAACCTGTAATATGTGGCAATTGCGTCCTCGCCTATAAATAAATTATGCATAAGCCAGGATTATTATTTATATGCAGAAATTTTTTATACGTATACCGATATAAATATTTTTGAACCCTTCATTTTTTACATTTATTACATCTAATTTAATATATGGCGCAGTAGTCATGTGAGTGTGACCTCCAAAGGTCACGTCCACGTGACTTATACGAATGATTCTGTTGGGGTTTTATCCGGAATTTGAGATATTACATGATTAATTTGATTTACAGTTAATTTAGAAATCATCAATGCAGAAAAAGAATTCACCCGCACTATTTTATCTATTCCTATCTTACTAAAGAGATGAAAGATTTTTTGGGCTCTTTCTTTTCTTTTCTGGATAGTAGTTTCAGGAGTACCATCGGGAAGTTGTTTTTCAATTTCTTTATTTACTTCACTATTAGCATCATTTACATTATAAGATTTTTCATAATGAAACTTGAAGCGTTTCGCTATGGCTATCCCGAAGTTATAGTATTGAATAATTACTTTCTGACTTTGTTTTTGATTTTCACTTTCAGCAAAGGTAATTTTAGTATATAAATTTAGAAAATTGATAGGTTGTGGGTCAGCTTTGGTAGCTATGACTTGGTAAGAAGTTATTTTATCTGTGTTTTGTTCAGCGGTGTTAGATTTTAATTCTGTAATAAGTTTTTTTATAGTATTAGAATCTTTCTTATCGCCTTTTTCCTTATTCCGCTTTGATTTTTTATTGGATGATTTATTTTTAGTAGTATCTTCGTTAAGTCTTTTTTGACTCTGTTTTATATAGTCTGAAATGAAGAAATCCGATAAGGGGAGATTTAAACTATGAGTTGTATCTGAGGTTACTGTATCCCCGCTTTGACTAGATGTCATTTGTGCCATTTGTGGTGAAATTTGCATTGGGTCTGAGGTATTCTGTGCCCGATCCTGTGAACTAGGTTCAGAAGTACCAGAATAACGTGTATAATCAATAGATTCAATTTCCGTTGCACATTCAGGACATTGCGGAAGATCTTTTACATAATCCTCAAGACAGCTACGGTGAAATATATGGCCACAAATGAGTATGGTAAATGGTTTTTTAAGTTCGTACAAAAAAAGCTCTTCTTTACACTTTGAGTATGGATCTAATTCTAGAACTTCAACACCTTCTGCAATAACTTCCGGGGAGCCATTCTTAAGGATATTTAAAGCAAGGTTTTTGAGACACAAAATGGTTTGAGGTGTTGGGTTAGTAGACATATTCAAAGGTAAAATTTTGCTTGATTGAAAGAGATAGTATACGTTATTAAGAGTTACAGACAGATAAGTATTTTATAATTTTCTTTATACTTAGCTCATTTTTATATATTAAACACCCTCACGACTAACAAAACTAATTTGCAGATTCTATTAAGCCAATTTCGGATTTGGCGATCTATTCATTCACGAATTACTTAGTATGGGCCAGAATGATCGATCTTCACTGGCTATCGTGAGCGATTCACAAGTTAGAGGTGCAAACTTCCATTCTTATCTCATTCTAATCGCGGGAACATCAGATCGATTTGAGTAATACAGTAAACTGGACCATTTATCATCTGAATAATCGGGATATTCGATTTTAGTTTTAGGATTAAGTTTTTTCATCACTTCTTCGCTAATCCTTTTACACCCCTCCAAACTAAGATATTTCAAATTAGTACAGTTACGTGATACCTCCTCATCTGGGTCCGACTCTGAATCATCCAGCTACGAAGTAAATATCCCCAGCAACGATGATAAAGATTTTACTGTGAATGTGGTGAAAACCAAGAAGCATGATTAGTAATTGTATAGGTCTATAATATCTGATATCTTAGTATTTTCTTTCTTATATACTGGAATAACTGGCCTATCATTCATTACACCATAATGCTCGACTGATGAAGCATGACCTATTTTATGCCTACATGCCAATTGTCGTAAATATTGACGGCGGGAATCATTCCTACCTCCATGCACTCTGGAAGCATGATCAGCCCCTATTTTTCTTAATATAAATGAGGTAATTCTACGGCGACTTAAGAATTGATTAAGTGGTACAACATTAGTATTTCCATCCTTATCTTTTAACAAGAAGGAGAATTTATCCGGTATTGATCTCTGAATCCAGATAAGTAATTCTCTTGCTCGTATTGGATTTTTTTCCATTGAAAGGAATGGTCGGGGTTCTTCTACTTCACCTTTGTTTTTTGCATAACCAATACAGTACCAAGAATAGTCAGGATTATACCATGACTCACGACTTGGTCTGTATCGACTGATACTAAGATTTTTTACATCTGCCAATCGCATACATAGCATTATCATTACGTCTATTAGATTTTGCATTGAAGGAGGCTTGTTAATATTATATTCATTAAGTCTTTCCTGAACTTTTTCCAGATAAAAGAACTCGGGACAATTGTAACCATTAATTCCACGAAGTATACGTTTTCTTGCTTGAATCTGATTTGCTTCTTCAGTAACAAAGGGTATTTTCGTTGCCTCAGTGATGAGATAATCAACCCCAAGTTTGCGCAACTCTTTTCGTAATAAATTAAGCCGAGAATTTCCGGCAACAGTAGTGGGAGCAGAAGAAGCCAAGTCATATGCTATTCCATTTATCTCTTCAGGTGAGAGATTATTTTTTATAATATTCTGGGCAATAATTTTGATAGGATCTCTTTCATCAACATGTCTCCCAGGGGATCGAATAGGAATAAGAATATCAGCTTGCTCCTTACTTAATCCCAACTCTTGAAAGCGTCTTTTAGCCTGATCTCTAGCTTTCCGAGCCTGCTCTTTTGTCTTGCCATTTGAAAGTTTACTAGCCAACTCTTCGACATAACTACTAAGCTCTGGTAAACTAGTTTGTAGAGTCAATTTGTAGTGATTTACAAATGATGTAGCGATTTTTGCCATGGTTAGTATAGCGAAGCTAGTGTCTTTGACACATATGTTAATTGAGATGGTTTATGTAGACTATTTTCGTCTGATATATACTATGGGATTCTTTTTTCAAATCGAAATTAATTACGCTTTTTCCTCCTATACCTAGAAAAAAAGAGTTTATGTATACCTATAGGGTTACCAGGATGTTGATTTGAAATTTACTAATATATAAAATATAACAAAAAATTTTATAGCTTTGGAGTTGTGATCCAGGCTATATTAAGGTTTATGATTCATTTTTATTTTTTATAATGCTTGGAATAGATTCCGATATGTTTCTATACTTATGAACCATTTCTTGTAAATATCGGGTCTATTTTCCATTATATCAATCGGTGGTATTATAGCTGGATAAGATAGAGCATTCATGAATCTAATTTGTTCGAAATAGTAATAATCCATAACATCTGATAATTGTAGAAATTCAGCTAAATCTTTTACGTACCTAAAACCATCGTGCATTAGTTTGCGGAATGTTGGCCCATTGTGATCAATCTCTCTTTTGGTTAATAAGTTGACTACTTTCTGGGGCGTTTCCATTGGGTATGAGGTATGTATAGTGTCAATATATATTCGATTATATTATTACAAAATAATTTGGAAAAGTTTAAATTGATTTTATATTAAATATATTCATATAAAAAGTGAAACGGGCTTTATATGTTATATATTAAATCACTTTGAATGGGGTATCCAATCAGTCAATATGTTAAAGAAGACGATTCAGAGTGTTCAACATATCAATATGTTAAAAGTGATAGTTCGGGGCGTTCAACCTGCCCATATGTTAAAAGAGATGGTTCGATTTGTGGAAAAGGTTGTTAGCGGGACATAGGGTGTTCATTGCACTGGAAATTATATGATACGAATATAGCAAAATTTCCTTGTGGGATCTGTGGAAAACTAACAATTTCTGGGACGGAA